TTGCTATGGCTGGTGATAAAAACATTTCTTCCCAACAATCACCAGGGATAATTTAAATCCAGACACTGAGGGTGGCCTGCTTTGTGTCGTGTGCTTATTTATTGGTCTCTGCAATGTAAACACCACAAGGCCGGACCTTTCAGTACAGGGACTGTGTTAGCCCAGTGTACCAGTTCTGAAAGTCCCACTAGGACAAACGTGGTGATGAGTGGCTGCTGACCACCCTCCAGGTGGTGTGACAAACACCACATACATGCAAGGACAGTACAGAGCCAACTTCTGCTGTCACTCTGAAGTTACAATGTAGGAGAATGTGAATGTAATTGGACACATAAGCCAATGGGAAATGTTTTGAAGAATTTCTGTAGGCATTTAAAGGGATCATAAATGTGTCTTTTATCTAAAGAGTAGTGATAAGTGTATCCCACTGTGTAATTACCTCTTCTGAGGAACTGTGATGAGGACCCTCAACCTTGTGCACATGAACAGCATGAATAGTTTATCTTGTCCTAACCAGCATATCCAGATAAGTGTTTTGGGTTCAGTGGGGAATACAGGTCAGCAATGAGGCTGAGAGAGTGCCCGTACTCAGAGAACGTGGGCACAGAGTGAGAACCTGAGATCTAGACCATAGGTGACCGGGGCAGAGATGGTAGAGTGTTCAAGACCAGGAAGGGAGAACCCAACGGTCTGCAGAAAAAGTGGGGGTAGGTACCTCCAAAAAATGCAGATTTCTTTAGTATGGAATAAAGTGGACCAACATGTGGGTTTGCTATGAAACAACACAGAGAGGAAAACAGAGAAGAGTGTCCTTGGAATTCCATTCTCCTAGTGAGCAAGAGTGTTCTTTAACCTATATCAAAATCAAAATGTTCTCTGCTGTAGTTTCCTTTGCTTTGCTTTGCTTTGCTTGTTTGAAGGAAGGTCTTCGTGTTGTCCAGAATGACATATTAAAATCATGTGATCCTCCTGCCTCAGCATCCTGTGCCAGTGGACCAATAAGTACATTCCTCTGTATGCAGTAATGACATTGTTAAAATGCCCCCATTTTTCAGGAAAAATGAAGAACAGTGACTTACTTCTTTTTGTTTTGTTTTTAACTTAGAAATGTCATTAATTCTGCTTGGGAGCATCCTGAAGTTGGAAGTACAGTTGAAACTTTGGCCTGACAGAATTTATCTGTGAATACCAATTAATACATGAAAGCAAATCAAATTAAAGGTGAGCTAGAACAAAGACTGGAAACAATTAGTCATTTGCCGCTTGGTCTTTGTAAGGGCTCTGTGTTTGCCTTCACCTCAATTGCTATCAAAAGAGAACAGATCACCTTAAAAAGAACTGATTTACAGGGAACCTTAGCCCTATCGTTTCTCTGAACAGCTAGCCTCAAATAGATTTCCTTGGCTTCCAGTCAGCACTGATGTAAGTGTGAAGTAGCTATCCTAAACCTTGGTTGATCTCAGCATACACCACAGAATGCTGAGGTCACCACAGACCTTACCTACTTCTATTCTACTTGGATCCAGAACACTGTATTCAAATTTTACTATGTCAAATTTCATATATTGTGCTAAGTTTTTACTTTTTCCAAGTATATTTACTACAAATCTGTTGCCTTTTAAAACAGTGACATTTAGAAATAAATTTCAAAAAATTCTAAAATACATGTATATACACATATATAAATCAAAAAAGAAAGCTGGGTGTGGTGGCGCACGCCTTTAATCCCAGCACTTGGGAGGCAGAGGCAGGTGGATCTCTGTGAGTTTGAGGCCATTCTGGGCTATGGAGTGAGTTCCAGCACGGGGAGGGGGGCATTTGATAGGAAATTATTCATCTGAAACTAGAATACATACCCAGTGATTATTTGTTTTAGGTCACCTTAACTTTGATTACTGAGCTATTTTTACCCAGCAGACAAAGTCAAATGTCATGTAGCTGCCACAACTGATCTTAATTTTGTCCTTAAGTTCCACAAAAATCAAATGTTAAAATGTTAAAATGTCTGTGCATTTTTGCTCTTCAGGCAGCCCCTGTTGTGGTTTAAGTAACAAGCTTTCCTCCAAAAGCTCAAATGTTGGAACCATGGACCTCAGAGTGTTGTGCCCAGGTTGCAAGACCCCCAAGCAAGACCACCACATAGCCATTGTCCGATGTAAGCACACAGAGGTTTTATTAACAACACAAGCTTGGTCCGCCATCCAACATCCGACACAGCGGGTGGAGGAGGACGGCCCCAGCACTCACTTGGAGGGGTTTATATAGGAAAGGTTTACATGCAGCCTGGAATTGGACGAGGGGCTACAGGTGAGGCAGTTCTTTGAAGTTACTGGCTGAGGTTACTGATGACTCACAGGATTCAGGGTATCTACAGAGACATAAAATTTTTACTCCTTATGTCCTGCTTTTGTTGAAACTGGGATATTCATTCAGATTTATTGTTCCAGTCCTATTCTCCTCTAAGGTCAACTTCTGGTCAGTTGAGCCCATTACTCCCCATATCTTTTTTTGCCAAGTCCAGGATACATAGATTTATTGTCCCAGCCTTACATTCAACTTCTGATCACTTCTACAACTGCTGGTCAGCAAATACCTTTGGAGGAGGGGAGGGGGAAGCGTCTCTCAAGATGGCTACTGAGTTTTCCCTTTCAAGAGCTGGTGATGTTGAAAAGTGTTGATTATGCCATGCTGGTATTAACTCATCAAGGGGTTAATTAACCTCCATGAACTCATACTGATCCTGTTGCTAGGATTAGGGTTCTTATTTAAAAGGCAGATGCTGTCTTTTGCAGAAGATTTAATGTTGGCCTGTATGACAGCAGAAGACTCACCAAGGAAGCCATGAAGATCACTGGAGCCTAGTGCAGCTGTCTAGCCAGTAGGTAAGTCTCTGCCATTTTCATCAATACAGAGGCCAGCTGGATTATAAATTCCTGCTATAATGTATCCTCCTCAGGTCTCTGATGATATTGACTTACTAACTGTAGCTTTAACAGGGCAAACACATCAGCTCCTTCCCCAAGGCTGCAGTGGCATTGTTAACTCATTTAAATCATGCCTCAGGCCTCTCTTTTCTAGAGCTACTAGAACTCTTGCTGAGAAAGGCAAACACAGTTTACCCTGCTGACCTGCTTCACTTCTAAAGAGATAAACTCACAAAACAGGTTTCAAAGTAACTTTTTACTAGTTCTTTATTCAAAGGGATTGCTTTACAATGACTGCTCTCAGTAATCAGCCATTTGTGTGTCAAGGTAAGTGATTGGATGAGAAGAAAAGGTTTCAAGCTTAAATAAGTAAAAGAAGGAGGATAGCAAAACCCACCTTGAACAATCAAAACACTGCTGGGTGTGTCAGCATCCTGGAGTTGGGGTTCCACTGCAGAGTTAGAGAAATCAAACAGCATGATCTGGTATCATCCCTGGCACACTGACAGAATAGAGTCAGCATGTTACAGAAAGCCCTTGATTAGAATGTCTCCCATAGAAGAGTGAATGGAAAGCCTATTCCAAAGAGTTCATAGAAAGCAACGGAAAAGGAGGTGGGAAATGGGAGTTGGGAAATGTGAGCAGAACTGGAGCCTGGGAAGATGTGTGGGAACCAGAAGTCAGCAGAGAACCTTTTCTAAATAACACAGAAACCAGAGCGTGCATGTATAAGAATGTGAATATTCACCACAAAGCAACATGAGGTGTATTTTCCTGACCAGTGGACAGTAGGAAATGTGATGACTGAGTAAGTAGAAGCATGAGATGCTAACACAGTTGGAGGATGATATGCACAGTGGAGAGAGACAGAGCAATCAAAGAGTGTATGTTGCAGTTACTTTTGCTCTTCATATGAGTTTCTTTTTTTCCTATGAGACAGAGTAGAAAGCATTTAATTTTCAGTGTACCTTTTAAAATGTTTTTACTTATTTAAAAGATGTTCTACTATGATAATGCCTGGTATAAAGTGGTTATACATAAATATTTCATGAAATAGAAACTAATTAAATTAAGCACAAAGGGAAAAACTACCATAAAACCAGGCAAGCTTTGCCAAATTAACCAAAATAATAAAATCCGTAGGGTGGGGTTGCAAAAAGACTAAATTAATAGTACATGTGTTAAGTGCTCACAAAATGATTTGCATGTGGGAATGATTATAAATTTCTGCTTTTTATTAGCAGTGATGAATGTAATGAAATAAAAAGAATTAGAGCTCCTAAATCCGAGCATAAGAGCCCCACTATAAGACCAGAATGTCTCCAACTAAAATGAAGGAAATAGGGTTGTGTCAGAAGCCTGCATTTCCGACCTGTGATATGACTGTGAGTCTGTTCACCAAGCGGTTTGCCTTTTCCTGAATGTGGATAATGTCAGGCATTTAGCAGCACATCCATGGAATTCATGCTGTGTAAACACTCTCAGAGCTGTGTCAGCCCTGACATCAGTCATTCTCAATCATAACTGAAGAACCAACGTGCCCCCATTTCAAGCAAGCCCCTCACCCCAGCTTGAAAGAGGCCTGAGTTTCAAAATTCTCAGAGCTGCTGACATAGGTCCCAGGACAAAGTCAGGATGTTTGAAGAGCCAACTGGGAGCAACTGATTAACCATAGAACACCCCAATGCTGGAGATGGTCAACAAAGTCAGGATGTTTGAAGGACTATCTGGTAACAATTGATTAACCACAGAATGCCCCAGTGCCGGAGGTAATTTATAAAGTTTGACAAACAACCGGTTAAAACTACAAAGTAAGATAACATAGAAATTCTGGAATGCCCCTAAAACTTGAGCCAATCAGAATTGTACCCATACTAGCGCCCCTAAATGATGTAATCTTGTGGTTTTTGCCTTTAAAACCTGAGCTTGCAGAGGGGCGGGAACCTCCTCCAGCCTCTGCTGTGTTGGATGACTTGACAAGGTCCCTGCCTTGTGGCTTGACCTGCTTCAATAAACCTTGCTTTTGCGTTTCGGTGAATTTGTGTCTCTGGTGGTCTCTTCGGGGGTCTTGCGCCCAGGGCACAACAATAACCTGACATGACATGAAGTGGTTGCTTCATGGCTTGGAGCTGATATTCTAGATCTTACACTATGTTATAATACTTATATATTGTACATCAGAAAAATCATAAGGTGTGATATCAAGGCAAGGACTCCTCTGCATTCTTCATTTTAGAACTCAGCATTATGTGATGATAATGACATCCTGATATCCTGACATCCATTTTCCAAATCTTAGTAAATGAGTTTTCAAAGACATCTGAATTTATCTCATTTTCTCCTGAAAAGTAAGAATTAGTAAATTTCTCCATGCAGTGAATGATACCCTGAAATTAGTCACTGATAAAGAACACAGAGTAAAAATGGCATCCAAAGTACAGATAAAATTAGGAGTGATGATAGCATTTTCGCCTGTGGATGCTGTCATTACTTGTAGCTTTAGCCAACCTGTGTGTTCATGTTTTTCCAAGCATGAGGTCCAACACAAGAAAGCACATTTTATTTAAATGAAAACATTTTGTTCTTAGAGTATCATTCAATTAATTCAGAAAGACAATAGTCGGTCATGTCAGGAGAGATGTCTTAGTGATTAAGAACACTGGCTGTTTTTCCAGAGGACCTAGGTTTGGTTCCAGCATTTAAGTGATGGCTCACAACTGGCTGTCTGTAACTTTGTTTCCAAGGGATCTGACATCTTCTTCTGACCACTAGGAACAACAGACATACACACAGTGCACATACATGCATTTGAACAAAACAGTCATGCTCAAAAAAGAAAATATAAATGAATGTGAGACATATTTTCATAACCTGACTTCAAAATATGCAAGGGCAATGGTGTCACAGACTTGTGGGGGTGCCAGACCATGTCTGACTTGACTTAAGTCCCACTCCATGAGAAGGAACCCTTATCTGACACTGTTGGACCAAGAACCAGGGACTACATAGTCAAGAGACCTAGGTAAAAATCAAATACTACTGATCTAAAAAAATAAAAGTAGTAATATAGTGGCTCCTATTGATATTCTGAAATACCCATAGATCAGTGCTTTCTTCAGTCATCATCCGTTAAGCTTCCTCCTGCAGAAGATGGGAACAAATACAGAGACCCATGGTCACATATGAGAGAGAGAGAG